GCCTCAGACTGAGGATCCTTTTTCCCCAACAACAATAAAAGGTGAATATCTTTTATAACAGTTTGTAAAAAACTTACTCGACCCTATAGTTTTCTTTCTTCCAATTCAGCCTTTCTCCTTCTTTTCTCTCTTTCCCTCTGATGTTATTCTTCTATTTTATGCTTTTACTTCTTTTCCTTTTTTAACAACTTAAGATATTCATTTAATAATCTCCTTTAGGGGCCTCCCTAGCCACAGGGGTTAAGTCTCAGGGCTGTCATTGCCAACCAATATGGCATGGATTTAATTCCGGCAAGGGAGGACACACATGGCGCAACAGACTTTTCCTGTCTCACGGATGCTCTCCTCAGCAGTGTATTTCATGTAGTTCTGCGCCCCACCCTGTGTCTGGTGTCTCCTCTCATCCCACCCCCAACACCTCTAGCCTACAGCCCACTTTTTTTTATACATAAATAACATAAATCTAAAAAAAAATACTCCTTCGAAGTCCAAATAGATTAAGGATTTAGCTATAAGGCCTTAAACACAATAAGGTACATAGAAGAAAACATTGGTGGTATACTCCATGTCATCAATGACAAAGATGTTTTTGGAGACTCCACCCTTACAGCAAGGGAAGTAAAAGCAAAAGAAAACAATTGGGTTTACTTTAATTTTAAAAGGTTTACATTTTTAAAGAAAATATAAATGGATTAAAAAGACATCCTACTAGGGGACAAAATATTTACATATTACATAATCAACAAGGAATTAGTATCTCAGATATAAAAAAGAAATCTTATACAATTCAACAATAAGCAAACAACCCAATTGATAAATGGACAGCAGATCTGATAGGCTGCAAATTTTTTTTAAGATTTATTTTTATTTATTCATACAAGAACTGGGGTGGAGGTCAGAGTTGTGGTAGGTGAGAGGACTCACCAGAGACAGAGTAGGGAGCAGAACAGGCTGATGTGCTAAAATATATTGCTGAGGGGAGCAGTGGGTGAGACAGGAGGCGTCTGCTGTGCCCGGTGGGTCAGCTCTCTGGTTGCAGGATCAAACTTGTGCTGCAGTCATTACCAATAGCTTGATAGCACTGACTTTTTTTTTTTTTTTAATCCCCTGTGCCACCAAGGAGACCCTGGGCTATAGATCCAGACAATTCACCAAAGAAAATACAATCCCAACAGATAACATGTCAAAATGTTCATCATGGCTTCTAACAAGGGAGATGCCAGTTAAAACCAAAATAAGATATCATCTCTTACTAGTGAGAATAGCACAAACTCCCAAGGACAAATGTGAGAGGACATACAGAGAAAGAGGAACCCTAATACACTGTTGAAGGGAATGTGAATTGCTACAGCCATTCTGGAAAGTGATCTGGAGCTACCTTAAAAAATTAAAATGGAATTACCTTATAAGCAGGCAATCCCACTCTTGAGTATCTGCCTGAAGAACATGAAACCATCCACTCAAAAAATAAGTCCTCATTTATGTTAACAGCAGTACTATTGACATTAGTGGGGACATGAGAGTAACCCAAAAGCTCACTGATAGAAGACTGCCTCAAGACATGCATATCCACACTAAGGATTGTCTTTCAGCTGCAGGGACAGATGCAATGTTTCCATTTACAACAAAATGAAAGGGATTTGAAGGAATTATGAGTAGTTAAGCAAATCAATGACAAAGACAAATATTGGACATTTACATAGCAGATGAGTCAACAGAGAAAAATGCTGATTTAAAAACTAGCAGGCATTAATAAATGAAGTGAGTTTTCTTAGTTGAGAGGGGGTGGAGAGAGTGCAAGGGTCAAAAGAGATAGATCAGATCATCGTGTAGCAATAAAAACAAAATTTCTTCCTGATAGCTATTATTTCCAATTTTCTCTGCAAGTTCTTGTTTTGGGGTATTGTCGATTTTGTTGATTCATACCTTCTGAAGTATTTTTTTTTTTAGATTCATTTATTTATGCATACAGAACTGGGGTACCGGCCAGAGGTGCAGGGGTGATGAGAGGATTCCCCAGAGAAAGAGTGGAGAGCAGAACAAGGAGTTGCACTGAAATACACTGCTGAGGGGAGCAGTGAGAGGGTCAGGAGAGGTCTGCCACACCATGTGGGTCACCTGGAGGCTGGCTGGGGATTGAACTTGGCCCTGAAGCCACTGAAGTGGTTGAGGCTCCCTTGCAGTGCTGGGTTTTAAGCAGTTGCGCCACCAGGGAGGGCCCTTACAAATTGTTTTGATGTGACTTTACAGTTGTTGCTATAAACTCTTCTTCAGTGGAAATTGTTATCCATAAGTGCCCTACATGGCTGATGGTAGGTGTACTCTAGAACCTTGTGATTCTAAGACCAACCTCTTCTCTGCAGGAAGGTATTAGTCAATAGATGTTTCCTCCCTGAGATAAAAAATTTTCCTCCCTTCTGAATCATTGTAATCAGCACATAAGTATGCTATAATACCTATAATTTGTCTCATTTTGATATTTTCCACTATAGCAAAATGTCTAGAATTATTTGTTTATATTTGTTGCTCTAGTTTTCTCTGTTAAACTGACATCATTTAGATTATCTCCACTCCCAGCTACTTTTGACAAGCTCACCAATGATTCCAAAACTAATGGTCAATTCTCATTATGTATTTGATCACTAGCATTTGATACAGTTGATTACTCCCTCCTCTTTCTTTGATCATTTTCTGCACTGGGCTTCCAGGACATCATTCTGTACTTTCTATGTCTATCTCTTCCCTTTCTCTTTCTTCTATGATGGATTCCCCCAACCCTACATGTTGATGCGTTCAGGGCTCATTTCTCTTGACTTGTCTCAGGTATTAGTTATTTCCTCTGCCTGGAATCATCCCCAAGATATATCCATTAAGCTTTGTTTCTTTATTTCAGGTCTGTGTTCAAGGCTGTTTTACCAGACAACCTGGTGATCCTATGAAATTTATCCTCCATTTCTAATACTACCTAGCCCCCCTTACCTTGATTTAATTTTATTATGGGTAAGTATGTTACCCAACATACTTACCATTACTTGTATATTTAAGTAATGTCCATTTCCCTCTAAAACGCAAGTCCCCTGTGAGCAGAGACTTTAACTTATTTAGTTCATTGCTGTACACCTATTATTGGAACAGTACTGGGTGATGTCAATTTGAATATGCTGGTTCAGAGAAGGGGTCCTTGGGTTACCTCTGAGAAAATTTCATCAAAGCTTCCCTTTAAGCAGTACACAGTGAATTTCTCCACAAGGCAGAGATATTTAGTTTAATCCAAAAAGGCAGATTTATAAATCAAAAAAAGAAAGGAAAGAAAAGGATGCTTGGGACAGACACAAATCAGCAGAAAGTACTGCCCCTAAAAAGGACAGGTTTTGAGAAAGAAATGCCTGCACAGACACAGGTGGGCAGTCTTGGGAGGAGAGCAGCTGTTTCTCTTTTGCAAAGGGAAAGGTTTGTGAAAAGAAACACATGCTTAGTCATAGGTGGGGAGGAGAATTGCCTTTTGCCAGCGCAAAAATTGCACTAATATCTTCTCTTTGGGAGGGGTTCGGAATCCTTATCTTCTGTGGAATAAATTATTTCTAGGGCATGACTATGTAATTTGAAAGGACTATGGATCCTCTGCAATGGCCCTCCATCTCCCTGTCCCCACGCTGGTCTGCAACCCAGATCCATTCTATAGCAGCCTGATACTTGGTATAGCAATTGGCACCTAAGGCTTTCCATTTCTCTAGCTGGTTTAATGACAGTTTCTGGTCTTGTGATACCTCCATTCTAAATTTTCTACTCTTAGCCTCCATCACAAGTCAACTTTAGAAACTTCAGCCTAGGTTAAGTTGAAATAGTTTTCATACATTGGGTTTTGTTCATTCATGAGATCCAGAGAATAGATTGACTCTTGTCCACTGGTTAGTTTTCAGATGTGATAGGATATCATGATACATATCTCTCTTCTCTTCTCAATCCTCCCTTAATTCCACACCCCCAGACCTCCCCCCATCAAACAACAAAACAAAACAACCCCCCCCCATTTCTCCTGAGGAGATGCCTTTGATCTCTAAATGTGGGGCCCTGCAGATCTCCACAGTTTGACTCCTTTTATGAATGACCTCCGTTTGCCAATCACCCAGGATTAGCACACATGTGATGCAGACCTAACTCTAGCAACCCAGCTTTGCACATGCTTGTACTGACACAACACAGTATCACAAGACGCCTGTGTGGCAGAGTGAGAAAATCCTAAAAATGGGTCAGACCTTACTTACTTCGTACACTGTGAGACAATGTAGGCAGTTATTTTTGTTGGAAGTGATGAGGAGGAAGGCGAGAATGGAGAGTGAAAGTGGTGTCCGAGAGATGGGGGAAGGAGGAGTAAGGTCCTCCTTACTTGGCAGTTGTTGGCCTGAGGAAAGGGTGTGAGGAGGTAAGGATGGCATCCTTGTTGAAATAGAGTAAGAAAGAGGAAAGGGTAGTGGGGAGGGAGGCCGATGCAGTGAGGAAGGTGGAAGCAGAGGTTGGCACCTCACCGAATGCCATCCCTGAAAGAGAAGTGCAAGGCGAGCGGCTAGGAAGTGTAATAGCTGAGAACTGGGAAAAGCATGACAGAGCAAGGTCTGGTCAAATCAAATGGCCCAGGGAGGTCGAAGAGTGTAAAGAAGAGAGAAACCTCGGTCCAGGACCAGATGACAATTTCAGTTTGGGGTGTGGGACTAGGTGCAAGGGTCTGGGACAGACAAGGAATTACCTTTGTGGCCCTCGCAGTGTTTCGTCCCGTGCCTGGCACAGACAAGGAACTCAATAAATGTTTGGGGAAATCTCACGCGAAGAGCTCGGATGAACGGCCGTTGGGCTGGCAGCCTCGGGGCAGCGGGGGCGCTGGCGGGGCGGGCGGCCCTTGTGGCCAATCGTAGCGTCCGCCTCAGTTCCGGCCCCGCCCCTCCCCATCCAGCCCCGCCCCCGCCAGTCGCCTGACGGCCACCAGAGGCGCGCGCAGCCGCCCATCTCCCGGAAGTGCGCCGGGAGCTGGCGCTGCGAGCCGAGGTGAGCGCGCGTGAGCTGG